ATTACCTTAACAATTACATCAATATCAGCCAATAGTTTGATGAAAGAGCATTTACACACTTTACTTCTATAAGCACATCCCACATCAATCAAGTGTAGGTAACTAAAAACCTAGCACCCAAAGTTATTTGGTACCAGGTTAGTGAATGCAATACTATTTCAACAGACTATTGATTAGTTACCATCAAACTAGACTGGTTTGAGTTTAAGAAATCCAAAACAATCTATAAATTCAATATTGACAAGACAATTAAAGAAAATATTGCTAACTTCACTAAAGATATTGAATTCTGGCTTAGGCATTCTCTTCCACATCCTGTGAGAAACTTAACAATATAATAAAAAACTCTATGACCAAATTTATCAAAAAAACCAAAGTGAACATTTCTAAAAAGAGTCGGTACATCAAAGCTGAAAAAAATCTTAAACACAGATCAGAAAAATCAATCATGCCATAATTCTTATTAAGAAAAACAAATCTCTTACCTCGTTAGATAGCAATCTTATAGACCTATACATCAATGCAAACCAGTATACAGACATATCAGTAAAAGGTCTCAAGAAGCTTAAAAGATTGCTAATCAAGGAAGGATTACTTCAGGTTCAGCATAAACTTCTAGAAGAGTACTGTCTCAACTTTAAAACTATCGTAAAAAACTTTTATACCAAGCCAAAAAACTATATTGCCAGGGCCCTTGGCAAAATCAAATCCAAAATTGATTTCATGCAAATATATAACAATGAAAACCAAATTGAGAATGACCCTAAAGTTATAAAAGACATTATTAATTCCTATTTTCAAAATATCCTATGCCAGCGATCCTTTAATCTTCTCAGATTTCCTAAGTAGCAAGAAGCGTATAACCCTCTTCCAATAGATCAAGATCTATATAAAGAAGTACTTTTAATAATTGATCCGAAAACTCTCAAGTCCATTATCAAATCACTTCCAAAAAACAAAGCTCCTGGAAAATCAGAAATTAGCTACGAAATCATTAAACTCCTAGGCAAAAGTACTTATGAACCTTTTTGCAATGTATTCAATTCCATTACTAACTTCACATTCATTCCTAATTTCTGGAAACAAACTATCATCATATTAATCTCCAAGAAAATAACCTGGAGTCACAACCTAAATAACACAAGATCCATATCTCTTGTGGAATCTACAAGAAAACTTTTTATCAACATAATTAACAAAAGGTTCATCAAAACTCTCAAAAATAATCAAATATTATCAAACTTCAATTTCACCAGTCTTTCCGGCCAAAGCACTATGGAACCCCTAACTATTGTCAACTTAGCAATCCAAGCTGCAAATATCAATAACAAAGAATTCTGGTTTGCCTCTTTAGACATTGCCAAAGCCTTCGACTCTGTTTCAATTCCAGCCATCCAAAAATCATTTCAAAGAATCAACTGTCGAGAGAAGTTAATCCAACTTATTGTTAACTTATTTTCCAACAGAGTAATGTTGATTAATACTCCATTTGGACCAACAGAATCTTTTTTGATCAATAATGGAATAGAGCAAGAGGAAACTCTATTTTTAATCACTTGGATCATTTTCTATGATCCATTGATCACTAAACTCTCCAATTACCCCAAAATAATCAAATATATTGCTTCCAATACCTTAGCATATATGGATGACCTGGCATTAATTGCAGATACTAAAGACAAGATGGAGAGCCTTCTAGAAACAGCAAACCAATTCTTTCAAATTAATAGGTTAACATGTAACAAGGACAAAACAAAAATAATCAATAATATTTCAACCAAAAACAATATATCCCATAGCATTATTTTCGATAACCACACAATTCAAGTTTTAAAACCTTTCGAAAGTGTGAAATACCTGGACATCCAGATATCTCCACGTCACATGCTAAAATTCAACAGGAAAATCTTCGAAGAAACAACCAACAAAATTTTAAAAAAACTTACATATTGAAACTGGAAAGGAAAAATAAAATAGAAAATTATAGAATGAATTATACTTGAAAAATTTGAGTATTTCTTACTCATTTCCCATCTCCACAAATCTCTCTTTAGCAGTCTACAAAGAAAAATTAACAAACTTATCAAGTCCTCATACAAGATATCATCAAGATGCTCCAACCTTATTCTAGTTAGTGAGGGAGGCCTAAAAATCTTTTTGCTTGAAAAAAGACAAAGATCATCTCTTGTAACTAATCTAATATCCAAACTCACCATTCCGTCAATCAGAAAATATCTCCATCAAGATATTAGATCAATACAAAAAAAAGAATCAATATGGTTTTGTCCACTTTGCAACCCAGACAAATTTAACCAAGACAATTGGCTCCTCAGTGCAGTTCATATAATTAAAAACTTCAAGATCCAACTGTATCCTCCAGCCTGCATATTTCATAACAACAATGCCATAAATTCTATTGGTTTCTTATTCAAATCACTTAAAAGCAATCTCAAAATTACTGCAGTCCATATAGCAAATGCACTCAATATTCAATTCATCAACCAATGCTTAGATTTAATAGCCCTACCAAACTTATATAGTTCCAAATTATTTCACATACAGGAATTACAAGATGTGATTCAGAACCTCACTAGTTCAAAAACTTTATCAACACTTTCTCCCTAAAGGGCATGTATGAACCTATCCCCAATCCAAGACCAATGTTTTGGCTGGTTAACCCAAGTCGTATCATTTGTTAAAACTCATAAGAGAACTATAGAATTTAGAAAAATTCACTTTTAAAAGAAAAACACTATCTAATAGACCAATCCAACAATTTTATCAAGTGCCAAGAATGTTCCTTAGGTACGAGTTGCAATAATTCTTGTTTCATCATTTTCACAACCACATTTGCATCATTCTTATGGGTATTTACCCAAAACTCTCCTCAACCAAAATTTCGTTTTAATAATCTAATTGAGAAAACCCTCAATATCCCTCAAGCACAAGAAAAAATCATAAAAAACATTTGTCTTTCACCAAATCCTCTCTTCCCTTCCCAACTTTCTAAGATCAGTCACTCTTTTTTTTTCTCTGTTCAAGCTTTCAAAGATGATGTTATTATCAATGAAACCAAAGTTACTCTTTCTACTTTAGGCACAGCCATAGCTAATATTTTTCTGGTAACTTATGATATTATTCAATAGTATCTAGTCTCATCGACAATCAAAATCAGAAACAATCAAGATATTCTTTAACAAGTCTCCAATGGTCCAAGAAAAATAGTCAAAACCAATCATGCATCCATAATTTTAAGAATTATCAGTTTGAGCACTCAAAAATCAGTTCGACTTCAATCAGCCAAACCCAAATCCAGACCAGTCATAAATGAAACTTTACAATAGAATACTTTTCTATTATACTTTATTGAAAACCTCAAAATAAACAACACCAATCTGGGCAGTAATACTATTTAATCCAAAAAAATTCTGAGAATCACAAAGACCTATATAATCTGTGAAAGCTTGTTTATAATCAAAACCTTTCAAGAAGCCTTAAATCCATATGGCTTGAAATTCCTTACCAAATCCACCAAGCAAATTAGAGGTACACAAAACAACTCCTACAGTGATCTCATATTATTCAGAATTAAACTTTTATCAGAAACACTTCCAACGCGAGCCTATCTTAACCAACTATATCCAGAGCAGTATCCAGATCACTTTTGTTCAAGGTGTGAGCTCAGAATTGAAAACATCAGACATGTTTTCGAATACATCGAAGTAGAGAACCATACAGCTTGAATTATCAACAGTATAAATAGCATCCTATATCCAGATCAAAGTAACAAACCTATAGATCACATTTGACAAGTAGTCAAGCTTTCGTGTGGCCTTATTAACAATATACATTCCACAGCAGATACTATTACCTAAACCAAAGCAGTTTCTGAAAGCCTTACACTACTTTATAATCTAATTTGGAAACCAAGGTGTAATACAGCAAACACATCTCCTACTACTGGAATTAAATGAGATCCAGACCTCTACTGATCAAAGATCAATAATAACAACAATAACACCAATCCAAAAAATTCAAACTAGGAAGCATTAAATTTCAGATCTAATTCAAATTTTGATAGTGAGCTAATGGTGGATCTTCTATCTTTAGTTACAAACAAATTCATTAACAACAATTACAACTCTACTCTATGCTACAAAAATTTAATAACTAACTTTAACAATCTTATTAATAATCCTGAGTAGGTATTCATAGCTACTTAATACTATCTCAGATATGTAACAGTTTTAATATTTATTTTCCTTCTTACTAAGATAGTTCACATAGGCAAGCTAGCATTAGACTTATTAATTAACTAGTTATATAAAAGATATTGTTGCTTTCTTCATATATAAATTTTAATCAATTTTACGATTAATAAAGTGATAATGTTTATCTACAAAAAAAAAACAAAAAACAAAATAATTATAAAAAAATTTTTATATAAATATGTTTTAGGTTTTGAAAAATTAAAAATAATATTTTTTATAATAAAACAAATAAATAAAAATTTATTGATATTTAAAATTCTTATTTTCTAACTGTATTATATATACATATATATATTATATTTATAAATTATAAAATTTTTTTTTCTACTTTAAATATTTATTTTAACAAATAATAATAATAAATCAATAAAAATAATTATAAGTAAACTTGTTTCTTATATTTTGAAAAAATCATTTTTAAAATTTTATTTAATTTAAATTATTATTTATAAAATTATACCTATTTAAAAATATTTTAAACAACATTATTGACTCAATGCCAAGAAGAACTAGTATCAAATATTAGTAGAATATACAATTTTTTTTATATACAGTATATAAAATTAAAAATAGAAATAAATATATAATTAATTGATACACTTGACTGTACATTTAACAATGACCAATAGAATGTTGTTATAAGTTCATACGTTTTAATATCACCCAGTTCCTTAAGGTGCATTTATAACTTTTGCTGAAAATACATACAGTATATCGTGAAATTCTACAATGTCAAGCGAACAAACGCCGACGCCTTCTGATTCAAAACCAAATAGTGGGAGTGGAGATCACATTAATCTAAAAGTGGTCGGAAACGTAAGTTATATTTTAGTAGAGTTTCATCCAAGGTGGCATGGCGCGTCGTGTTTAATCGTGGTCGATAATCAGGAAAAAAGATTGAAAGCGAGAATAAGTGAGAGAAGATAAGTGAAAAGAAAATGTACCAATGTCCGAGAGAAATGACACGCTCATGATCTTTAACTCTATTCTCGAGTGAAGAGACGCGTAGTGAATGTAATTAACTATTTTGTGATCTTTTGTTAAAAGGATCACAATGAAATGTTTTTTAAAATCAAACGAAGCACGCAACTGAAAAAATTGATGGACGCATTTTGTACGAGGCAGGGCAAATTGCTAAATTCGGTTCGATTTCTATATGACGGTGAACGCATACGTGAGGATCAAACTCCTCAAGAGGTATTTATTAATTCACTGTTCCTGTTACTTTAGAATAATAACGTTAATTTAATTTGATGTAAAACGACAAAACGCGTTAATTTAGTTGGATATGGAAGATGGGGACACCATTGATGTGATGGTCGAGCAAACAGGTTTCAATTCTCATTTATATTTATTTTTTCTAACAGATGATACTCGTTTCCACCATTTAATAATTGCTTATTTCACATTAAGGCGGTAGCGCTCTTGCAACACAACGAAATCAAAGTTAAAATAACAGATCGTATTTAGTAAAGTGCCATTTTGGTCTTTACCAATAATTCAGACGTTGTGCGTCTGTTGTTGATTCTTTATCAAATTCTTTATCTTTAAATAATTTTGCGCCATCGTAAATATAATATGTGTGTTGTTCTTGTTTAGTAATCAACAATTTATCAATTTAATGGTTTGTTCTTGCGAATGATGTGTATTACGTTATTTCTCACGATCAGAGCAGACCATCTGGATTTTAATGTAAATGTAGGAAGGGCACATGATATGTACCTCGGGCTTAATACCCGTACGTCACAATTATGTCTCTTGCATTGAGTATATTAACAAAGAACTTATTTTTAGATTCATTGGTTCTGTCGGTGAATAAAAATAACTTTTTTGAGGGACGGAAAATCTTCAATAATTGCCTTCCATCTGTTTGCACGTTACAAAAACAAACATGCTATAAAATTCATGTAACCACAAGTTTAAAGTCGGAACCTTTGCATAATTCGGTTAATGCCTCGATAACCATTTCTTATTTGTATCTCTAAAAGAATAACTAAGCCCGGAGAAAATCCCATGGCGTGTTTGTAAATAATCGTTGTGCATATACAGTATGTAAAATCAATACTCTAAAACGTTTATTAAGCAATTATTCATATTTCTTCTATGGATCAATTTAATGGTATAACCATAAGAACAATTAAAACTTCTACTCTAATTCGATGTGATTTATGTTTTATCGAAAGATTATAATGTGTGTGATTGGTAACATCTCGATTTCAAAAATTGGATATTCTTTTCGACAATGTTGTATACGTATCAACGTTTTTCGTATTGAATGATTTATTTTTCAAGCAAGTTAAATTACATTGAAAGGATTCTAACATTGCTACAAGATTTTTATGTTTGTTTCATAAAAATTGACTTTTAAAATATACAACGGTGACTTTAATGATGATACAAGGAGGAAAAAAAAATAATATACAAAGTTTTAGAATAAATAAACTGTTTGGGTTAATGGTAAGGATTTGATAGGATCACAGGTGCAAACAACTCCGTCGGCTTTGACAACGTAGGTTTCTGGATCAACTTCTATCTTTGGCAAGGAGTCATTCAATTTCATGTCTCTCTTTCCGATATTTCGGCAATTCTTCACGGCTTGCACCTTCTTCTTAAGTCCATACTTTTGAATTCGGGATTCGGTCATTGAAACTTGACTCACGAACGCATACGAATTCTTGGCCGCAGCGAGACCATATGAACCGAACATTGGCCTCGAGATTATGGGTTGCGTGGTTGGAATTGACGCATTTGCGTCTCCCATCTGTGACCAAACAATTATACCCGATTTAATTATAATCTCAGGTTTGGTGCCGAAGAAGGCTGGTGAGTACATCACCAAATCCGCAACTTTTCCAACTTCAATCGACCCAACTAAATGACTTATACCGTTGGCAATGGCTCTAAGATATGGGTGTTTGAATCGGTCTATTATTGTTTATTATTTCAAAATGGCAAAATTTCAAAATTAATAAATCTTACTTACGGATTGATTGTGTATTTAGCAACATAACGCTTGATTCTGAAATTATCCGCTGCGCCATCTTTGTCATTGCCCAATCTTCCTCTTTGTACTTTCATCTTGTGAGCCGTCTTCCACGTTCTGAGCACCACTTCACCAACCCTGCCCATAGCCTGAGAGTCTGAACTGATGATGCTAATCGCGCCCAAATCATGTAATACATCTTCGGCAGCAATTGTTTCGGCCCGAATCCTAGATTCGGCGAAAGCGATATCTTCGGGAATGTTTTTGTCCAAGTGATGACACACCATCAACATATCGACGTGTTCATCGAGTGTATTGGATGTGTAAGGACGCGTAGGGTTTGTTGACGATGGGATGACATTGGGCTCACCGCATACACGGATAATATCAGGTGCATGGCCACCCCCTGCACCTTCAGAGTGATAAGCGTGAATCGTTCGTTTTTTGAAGGCAGCGATAGACTGTTCAACGAATCCCGACTCATTGAGAGTATCCGTGTGAATGTTGACCTACACATCAATTCAATTGATAGTTAATAAATCAATTTTGAATTTGGGTGATGTTGGAAAAAATTGCTTCGTAATTTATGAAGTTCGTTAATTACTTGAACATCGTATTTATCACAGACACTCAAGCAAGTATCGATGGCAGCGGGTGTGGTACCCCAATCTTCATGCAACTTCAAACCCATAACACCAGCCTCGATTTGTTCTATCAAGGCGGCTGGATCTGATGCATTTCCTTTACCGGTGAATCCGAAATTTAATGGTACATCATCCGTGGAAGAAAGCATCATTTCAATATGTGTTTCTCCCGGAGTGCATGTTGTCGCGTTTGTTCCAGTGTTAGGACCAGTACCACCACCAATCAAAGTTGTGATACCCGACGAGATCGCCTAAGGAAAAAGATACAATGACTCATTAGACAAAAGGTTGGGGATGAAGATAATTCGAATTACGGCAATACCTCTGGAATAATTTGGGGACAGATGAAGTGGATGTGGCAGTCAATCGCACCAGCGGTGAATATGTGACCTTCACCAGCAAGAACTTCGGTCGTGGCACCACAAATCATGTTGGGAGTCACACCTTCCATCACGTCTGGATTACCAGCTTTACCGATTCCTTGAATTCTCCCATTCTTGATACCTATATCTGCCTGATTGGAAAATCAAGTCAGAAGTCAACAACATGTGGATCTTGAGACTTTGAAGTTCTGATTCACTTCTAACCTTGTAGATTCCAGTCCAATCGACAATTATGGCATTCGTGATGACCAAGTCCAAGGCTTCTTTATCGGTTACAGATGTCGATTGACCCATACCTTCCCTCAACACTTTACCACCGCCAAATTTGCATTCGTCTCCGTAATGAGTATAATCTTTTTCAATCTCTAGCCACAAGTCTGTGTTTCCTAGTCTCACGCGATCCCCGGTAGTAGGACCAAAAATATCGGCGTATGCAGCTCTGTCGATGGTGTAGGGGGTACACTCCAAGAATTTGTCAACATGTGGGGTATGTTTGAATCCTTGGGCGGTCAGAGTTTTGACGATATCATCGACCTTCGAGATCTTGACGGTACCACGCGCAATGTCATTTCCACCTGAGATGTGCTTTTTGCCACCGATTTCGACCAGAGTAACGGTCTTGGTTTCACCAGGTTCAAATCGTACGGCGGATCCTGCAGGGATATCGAGTCTCTTTCCATATGATAGACCCCTGTCGAAGGATAGAGCTGGATTCGTCTCAATGAAATGATAATGAGAGCCGACCTGTGTGGAAAAGATTAATGTAATATTTACCGAATGTACATTGATAATTCTGCAATTAAAATTACGACTGGTGTCTAAAAGCATACCTGGATAGGCCTATCTCCACTATTGGTTACCTTAATGGCAACACGTTCGCGTCCTTCGTTCAATACAATTTTTCCTGGCTTGACCACAATCGCACCAGGACCAGATTCTTGATTCGCTTTCGGAGATGGTTCCGGAAATTTTGATTTATCGGGAATCGGCAAGAAACTTCCATAGAGAGCAAGCTCCAAATTTCCGTCGAGCGAAGAAATTGGACTGTGAACTGTTACGAGATAGGTTCCGTCCGGAAAAGTGCCTTCGACCTGAACTTCATTCAACGTCTCGATAACATCCTCTTGAACGTGACGTGTGCCAAGCATTTGTTTCCCCAACTGCATTAGGTCAGCCACAGAGTTGGTTCCGTCTCTCATGAGTTCAATTAATTGAGAAGCAATAAGAGCGGCAGCCTCGGTGTGGTTCAATTTTACGCCACGCGCGAGACGCTTCTGGGCGAGAAAACCGACCTGGTGAAGGACAAGTTTGTCAAGTTCGCGGGGTACTAACCTCATGATTCCGAGCAAGAGGTTGAATAAGGTTGGACTCTATGTTCCTTTTTATACTTGATAAAGAATCAAAAGGATGAAGATCTTGAATCAAAGATATCCTATAATTGGATGCGTGAAACGTTGATTCAATATACCGTGAGAAAAGATTGTACATCTTGTCTTTCGGATTTCAGGTAGTCCCCCGCTGATTATGATAATCCGAAATCTGATTGGGTTTGGAAACCTATTTTTAAAGTATTTTGTGTAAATGAGGACATCACCATAATTCGAAATTAGCTTTTCGAAAGAAAAATGTCTTCCCCGAAGGAAGTTTGTCGTTTTGAAGATCACATGTCAGCAAGTGCCACGACCGGAGTAGGCCACTCGCATTCTCACTCGCATGGTGACCACGGGCACACTCACGAACAATTAGATCACCCTGGTAAATATGCCGAAAGGGAAATGCCTAAATACAAGAACCGAAGCTGGAAGGAAAGAGCCTTCACCGTGGGAATCGGCGGGTATTTTTACGTTTTTCCATTCACCCGTTTGCTTTACATTCAAACTTGAAGTTAACTTTTATTTATTTAATTATTTTTATTTTTTAAGCCCTGTCGGTTCCGGGAAGACGGCGCTAATGTTAGCATTATGTAAAGCTCTCCGAGATCGTTACTCCATTGCAGCAGTTACGAACGACATATTTACCAGAGAGGACTCGGAGTTCCTCGTTCGTAATCACGCGTTACCGGCGGAGCGAATTCGTGCCATCGAAACTGGTGGTTGCCCCCATGCTGCCATCAGAGAGGATATTTCTGCCAATTTGAACGCTCTAGAGGAACTTCATGCCAAGTTCAATGTTCAATTGTTGTTGATAGAAAGTGGCGGTGACAATTTAGCCGGTAATGGGAATTCTCTTTTCGCAAGTCACTTTTGTAAAATTCTCGAAGCTTTATTGGTAATTTCTCGTTCCATCATTTAAAAAAATTCACAACAAATTACAGCCAATTATTCCCGTGAATTAGCGGATTATATAATCTATGGTATATTCTAAATCTGTACATTTGTAATTGATACATGCCAGAACCTGTCTAATGATGATAATGATTCTAAAATTAGTAATTGATGTGGCGGGAGGCGACAAAATTCCTCGCAAAGGTGGTCCGGGCATCACCCAGTCCGATCTATTGATCATCAACAAGACAGATCTCGCCGAAATTGTTGGTGCCGACTTGGGTGTCATGGAAAGGGATGCACGAAAAATGAGGTTTGTTGTCTATTATCATTATTATGTGAATGATCTAGCTTTTCGGTCGCGTTGGCAAGTAATCGGTCATCTTTGAAACATACAATAATAACTAGGGAAAGCGGACCAACGGTGTTCACCCAAGTGAAAAATGGCGTTGGAATTCCAGAGGTGGTTGAGTTGATTTTAGGAGCTTGGCGGGCAAGCGGGGCGGAGGATTGTTGATTAATTGCTTCTTTTTAACCTTGTTCACCTGTGATTCAGGAATTCATTTCATAATTTAATCAATTAAAGTTTTTAATTTTCACTACAAGTTTCAATGATGTACCTGAAAGACCTCATAATCATCAACGTAAAAAGAGGGTATCGGGGTAGTCCGATTCTGTATGTAATAAGATTTCGGTTCATAATTTGACCGTGAATTTTCATTGCAACGATCGCTCACGGATAGATCGGGGTATCCAAACGTCGGCCCACGATTTCGATCTTGATAGATAGCATTGTCCGGATCCTTCACGCGATTGAGCTCAAAGTTTTCAGGATCCCGACTTGCGTCCATCGAAAACACAAAACTGTCACTCGTTGAAATGTAGCCAGTGAGATAGTAATACCAACCGAGAGGATTGTAACCTCCGATCACCTGAGAGTGCCCCCGAACTTTGATGACAACCACGCAGGCACCGCAATTATCGCACCTCGCGTGAAAATCAGCGGCCGAAAAACCGTCACGGCTCGCTCTGTACAATAATCTCCAATTAAATTCCAATCTTTTGCTGTGAGTGTCTAATCTTGAATTGTAGGCGCACTGGGATTCACCGTCATCATCCCCCTTTGCCTGTATCCATGATTCAATAAACGATGCGTGCTTATTGTTGATGATGACCGATTCGATGGGTAATATGCGAGGGGGTAAAATCAAGGATTTTGGTTGATAACCTTGTGATAAGAAATATCCATAAATATCGTGTTTCAATGACTTGGGTAAGATTCTCTTATAAGGCAACACTTTTTTGAAATAGTCATCAGAAGAGATATGGAAAAACCTAATGAGCGGGATGCACTGATGTAAAGTGTTTTCAAGCGCGCTAAAGTGATCACGCGTCCAACTTTGAACATCCGAGTCTTTGGGCAAAGAAGGTGTCTGAGCAATGCCCCATCTTATCAAGTGATCCCAAATTTCAATTTCATCCATCTCCAAGTCATCTCGCTCTAACAAAGAGACCAATACGTGACTCTCCAAGGAAAAATAATGTTTGGATTCAAACAGAAATCGAGGATCGTTTGAGATTATCTCGAGACAATAATTTTGAAGTCTGTCGCAAGTGTCATGCCGAAAGATTGTGTGCAAAACTTTAACAATGTTTTTTTGAAGCCATTTTGCATTATGTTGAATAAGATAATCTTGGGTGTGTTCCACCAACTCGCCAAGGATCAGTTCGTCCGCCGCGACCAATAAGTCAAGGAGATCAAATACCTCCTGCCTGTCAAATTCTATCACGCCTGTGTACACATAACTTTGACAAATACAAACAACAATAATTTAAGAAACCAACAAAAGATATAAAAAGGTCGTTAGAAAAAGATAAAGTGCATACTTCAAAATAATTTGGAAGACACTGGCCGACACGTTAGGTTTGGTCAAGATGATCAAGCCCTTTTCATCATAATTTTTTGCCCAATCTTTTGACAAGGCGGCACGAAAATAGGGAGAACGCGCAGTGAGTAATAAAGAATGTACATTGAATTCCGTCTCTCCGTCTTCAAGATCACCACCGACTTTTACTATGACATCGTAATTCTGAGAATTTTCTAGCAATGCCGCTAAATCGTTTGAAAGACCGGCGTAAAGCCTTGATGTCATGATTCACAAGATGTAGGTGTTAAAAAAAAAAAAAAAAAAAATTTATATAGTGTATATTGTTTTTCACTATCTTTTTATTTATGTATGCTGTTTTTTTTTTTTTTTTAGCCTTAAAAAGTCTTGCTAAATACAGAGATGGAAAAAAAGGATTAAAACTTTTTTTGGTTAATAAATAAATTAAACGTATTTTATTCGGTTAAACCCCAATTCCTAATGCAACACAGCATGAGTAAGAGAAACTTTTTTTACTTTTTTTGTAAATCATTGATTAGCATGTGATCCGACACACATTTATGCGAAAATCTCTGGGGGATCGAGATTCCCCTCTAACCATAGAAATGCTAACTAATAATGCTAAACTAACTAGGACAAAAAGATAAAAATTTATTTGGTAAGAATAAGATACCGAATTTGCATGAATCGCCTGGACTGAAAACAAAAAACGATATACTAATCACATAATTTTCTGGAGGGTCCACCACCATCTTTGATAATCCGAAGGTGTGCGCACGTTTTCTCTCAACTTCTATTCTTGAGTGTTAATCAAATATAAAATTTGCTCTTTGGTAATTAACATCAAATCGCTGCCACCAGACCAAAGGGCATCCAGAACCCATTCAGCAGCCATTCCAAGAGCTTTAACCAAAGCGACAATGCAAACCACCGAGAAGACGACTCCAAATACGAGTCCAAGGAGCAATCCTATGCCGCCACCGACAAAACTTAGAGCGAGCGGCGTTCCAACACCGCCGATAGCTGCCAGCATACCAAAAATCACAGGACCAATGAATAGCGAGACGAAAGCGGCAAATATCAAGGTGCACAAGTAAAAGTAATGCCAGATTGGGTGATCGGTTCGAAGTTCATTTGGATTAAGGAGATAGAATGCGAGACCCTTGCTGGGTCCGCTAACGTTGGACTGAGTTTCATTTATCACGAGGGACCGATCGAATTCATTGTGAAATCTTGAAAAACTTTCATGGCTATAACCGAAAGCTGCGGAAGGATTCAAACATTGTTAGACAAATCCCTTGAAAAATCAGTGCGTGACATCAATAAATGCTACGATATTTACAGGAATCTGGATTTTTCGTGGTGGTAGAGGCGGTGGACGACATTTATGATGAATTGCAACGTAATGTTTTGAATATCGTCAACAAATAATAATAATAATAATAATAATAATTGGAAGATGAAGTAAGTTGCCTGGAGGAAAATGCGAATGTGAATTATTTATATAAACGCCTGTAGGGTTATTTTTCTTTGTCTTGGAGGTTATTGCGGGGGCCTTTTTTGGTATGTAAATTCGCTACCAGCATTATGTCATTCACAATGTTGATCATTCTATTGTGAGATTGTCACACTCTCCATCTTTGACCAGTATATTCTGATAAGCATGTTTGCCCGCATAAAATAAAAAACATCCCACATATAATACTCACATGCAAATTTGGCTTGTGAAGACACATGAGAATTGCAGGTTTACAAGAAATCTGTTACATTTAAGCGGTTGAAAGGTTCTTCGTGAAAAGCAATTATATTTCTTTAAATTGCCTTATGCGTGTCTGCTATGGTTAATGGACCTGCGACGCTTCGATTTTGGAAATAACGAAAATTATTCCACCACCCATCATAACGAAAAGATTTGGGTTGGATTATGCACGACCTACAGTTATTAAATCTTACCCTTACGTTTATTGCCATATCTGAAATAATTAATTTCAAATGTTACCGTTACAATAATTATATTATAGCTAGCGCGTTGATTATCAACCAACAAATGACCGAATGTGATTCTTTATTCTCCCGGTACGTACTAAATTTTTATATATATTGTCATTGTATGTTATATATGATAAAATATGTTAAAAAGTCATGAACCCAAAAGAGACGCTCCAGAGATGAATTAAAATATGCGGGAAACCGTATTTTGTATTAAAATATGGATCATTTGTTAATGATGTCACTGCATACGGTAATTAAATTATTGTGATATAATCTTACTTATGGAATATTATTAATACAACTGACGGTTTTTCTGAATATTAAATATTTATTAAAATTAATATAAATAAATATTTTTAATCCATAGGCGTCGAAGGTCCGTTTACTATTAAAAATATACTGTATACTGTATCGAGGTCAATCAATTATATTTTTTAAATTCAATATACTGTATACAGGTAATTGAGGTTAAAATAATTATTGTTTTATACACAATGCATTTTAAAAAATTTCATAACTCAAAAATATAAAGGCCTTATTATTGAAAAGGTAAAAATAAAAATAAAAATAAAAATTCAAGTTTGAAATATTAGGTATAATCGAAAAGATTAAATGCCGTGTGTACAGCATATTGGAATTAGAAAAAATTCTTTAAACATACGTACAGAATTGAAATGATTATTTTTATTGGTGAATTTTTTTATATTATATTGTATTAGTTTGAAATATGGATTTTTAAGATAATAAAAAAATTTTTTTTTTTTGCATTTTGTATAATACTTTTAAAATTAAAACCTTGCTTAACTTTAGGAGTAAATTGCATCTTTCAATTCAACAATAGTTTTACATAGCGTTAAGCCTTTGTATATGTGTTAGCCACTTTAGGTTAATTTTAATATTAAACTTGTTATTAGGGTAGACAAGAGATACACAAGTGCGCTTATGTTTAGGCAAAATCAATATAATTATTTACAATAGAAAAATACATTCATATTCTTTTGGGCAAAGAATGCTCTCAACAATCGTTAAGTAATTCGGCCAACGCTAAATTACGTTGCGTCTATTTGTAACATTTTTGTATTTATACGATTTATGTGGCAACTTTTCTCATTTCGATGCATAATTAACAAAGAAAACTTTGAGAAATAAGATCTGTTCTTAATGATTTATGTAAACGGCTGCATTTTTCACCGATATATACAGTAACATTGCAATACAGTAACTAAACTCTACATTTCGAGGTTAGCTCCATTACCATTTTTTAAATGGCAAATACTTTCCTTCGAGTGTAATCTTTACTCTCTCTTGATCATCTTTTTCGACCTTATTTGAAATAATTAAGCGTTGTAATCTCAGTAAAAGAAGACTAACGCAAAGAATGCTGTGATCGTTTCTTACCTTTTCAACATTGGCGGTAAAATCAATCGCAGACATGATGCCATCACCGAACTTGCAGTGTTTATAAAAAATACATAAAATGTAAAATTATATACAGTATATATAGTATATATTAAACATTGAAATCCAATAAACGAATTACCTTTTCATTGATAATAGCCTTTAACGGGTATCCGTAGACCTGCAAAAAAATATATTAAAGAACGACCTTTTTGAAACGAATTATAAACTGTGTGTACAGTATATTCAGTCAATTACCTGAATTATTTCATAGAGGCGATAAATCAATGGATCCGCAGGTGGTAAATCAAATAATCTTGAGTAATTGTTTATTATAGTATATTTAATTATTCTGTCAAAGATTATGCGTCGCTTTTTTTTACTCATGTACTCACCCTCCACGATTGGGGAAATAAGTATGCACATCGAAGCTATTTATAAGGTAGTTTTCCTGTATATCCAAAAGTACACCTAGTTTAACCAGGTCTGATTCTTCTGGTTTAGCCTTTTTTCACAATACAAATTTGTGAATAAGATTATTTGATGGACCACGTTAAAAAATTTTCTTTTTCTTAGAAAGAAAAAAGATACCTGTTCATAAAACACAGCAGCGACCCAGACTTCGTCTTTGCCAAGTTTTTCACCAATTTCCGCAAACCTTTTTCAACAAATATACCTTAATTGCTTACACATTGTATATCTCTCGATACATCATTCAAATTAAGAATATTTACGTGAGCTTTTTCTCTTTTTTGGCTTCAAAAAGTTTTATTGATAAAGGCGAAAGTTTGCCTTTGAGAGATGGCTTGAAGGGATGAAAGACATTCAATTCAATTATTGGTCCCAATCGCGCCGCATAACGTAATACTTACATTCATTTTGAAAGTGATGCTCAGGGAACAAGTTTGTGATAGAAAAATTTCACAATAGTTTCTTAATTTATAGGGAACTTACCGAATTTAACCTAGAGATGACAACAATGTTCAAATGACCTTGTGTCTAATATTGAGTTTAATTATTAGCAACATGTAAATATTTAAATAATAACCGTTCTAATGTTTGTAACAATTTTATTTTCTGATTATACGTACAGTATATTAATTATTTAAAATATATAAAATTTTTTGATTATTTTTCTTTAAAAAATCAATCTTTCAATAATTAATTAAAAAAGTTTTTTTTAAGCGAATCCAATAATTTTCATATTGTATTTAATTAGCTTAATATTTGCTGAAACCGATATATTTTTTTATTTCTAATATTAATACAGTATTACATCTTATTTTTTTTTTTAAAAAAAAAAGCAGCAATTTATAAGTATACCTCAATTTATTCTTTAGCAATTGATATCAATTCCGAAATAAAGATAATTTTATATGTTTATTTTATTTTATTTTATTGTCGTTATTATTGTACTATATCATTTATTCTATTTTTTTTGGTAAATAAATATATTACTACTCCAAGTCCTAGTAATTGACGATGTACATCAAGGCCTACATCGTTACAGGATTTTTTTTTTTATTCTGCATAATTGCGTAGTAAACTCATCAATGTCGAAAAATCAGGACGAACCCTTAATTGCTTAAAAATATAAAGTCTTGGTTTATACGACGATATTACTTAGAGAATATACACGAACTTGGCACAATTTCTAGTGAACGTTATAATAGAAATTTTATTTTTTATAGTTTATTATTCTTCTTATAAGTCTTAAAAAAATTCGTATCAAGTTCATTTAATTCGTAATTAAAAGAAAGTAAAATCGACTAATAGTAATTAAAGGAAAAGTATAATTGACTATATTACATTATAAGAAGTTTTTATAGTAACTGTTATATATAATTTAATTAAAAATAATATTTCCAGTAAAATTTCTTAACAATTTCACGAAACCACTAAATAATAATATAAAAAAAATTAATAAATATTGTCGCGCTAGTCATAAAAAAATGATCGAAAAGAAATTCGCAATATGAAGATTTAATACACTAAAGCCCATACCACTCAAAGAGAATCGGATAGTTTAAACGAGGAGCCGTATCGTAACTTTTTAAATAAAAACAATCTCACGAAATCACTAAATAATAATATAAAAAAATTAATAAATATTATCGCGCTAGATATGAAAAAAGAATTGATAGAAAGGAAATTCGCAATATGAAGACTTAATGCACTAAAGCAAGTACCACTAAAGCCAGTACCACTCAAAGAGAATCGGATAGTTTAATCGAGGAACCGTATGGTAACTTTTTAATAGGAGCAATAGATCATTTACCTCGAAATAAACCTTCGTCAACTCTAAGGTTAAACAGCGATAGGATACAGTCTTATACCACTCGCCCGTGAGGCAGTTACAGCAAGGAAGGTACGTAACCAATCCCTCATGCGAGACCAGTAGACCTTGTTACCCACAACACAGACTCGACAAAAGAAAAGGACGTAATAATCGTTATAAATAATACACTTATCTGTTTTCTACGACGGGGAGATTTAGGAAAGAGTGTTTTCCTACGGTGGTGAGGTTTTCAGTTTGGCAGAAGGTAAGAAGGAAACTTTTCTTATTGTGAGGAAGACTTTAGTCCGGAAAAAAAGTTCGTAATGAGGAAGACCTTGGTTCGGTAAAACGACTTCTCCAGTAGGAAAGATTTTGGTTAGGCAAATAACTAGGAGAGGCTTTTTTCATGGCGAAGATTCTGGTTCGGCAAAACGACTTCTCCAGTAGAGAAGATTTCGGTTCGGCAATATCTAGGAAAGGCTTTTCTCTTGGTGGAGGAAAGAGACTTTAAGTTTTCGCCATAAATTATTTAAAGAGGTGAAGAGTAAACGCGAAATTCTACCATTATATACGAAATAGAACGCGTAATACAGACTTGTTTATACACGTGAAGGTTTCACTTTCTTGTGTGTGTAATCATAACGCCCCAACCAATTAAAATATTTATTGAAATTGATGATCAATCAATAATAAGACATATATGCGCTAGCCAATCAAAAAAAATGCAATCTTTTGTAAAAAAAAAATAAATTTTTAGGTAAACATCATTTCTTTATTTAATTTGTATAATAATAGATATACATTGTAAAAGAAATAACATCTCTCATGTGTAATAGTATAACAAGTTAAACATTAGCTTGTCTACAGTAATTACTAGATTAATATTGAAAAGAAATTTTAAAACAATATATCTTGTCAAGAGACTTCAAGCAACTATGATTACTTATTTAGCATTGGAAGGTCAAAAAAAGTTGAGATAATTTGTAATTAATTTAGAAATATATTTAATAAAGTTGAATCTACTTTAGATATATGAGTCAACAATTATGGTAGGTATATTTATAATAGTAGATATTAATATAGAGAAGTTATTAAAAATAATTTTTAACTTAAAAAAAAACTCTTTCCCACTCCCCTTCTGCACTTGAAAATTTTCTTTTTAGGAAATTTTTGAGTTGTTTACTTTTTTCTTTGCTCTTCCCTTCCCCCTCTCCTTTACTTCCCCTCTTCCATATCCTTTTATTTCCCCCTTTCTATTTCTTACCCCTCTTTTCTATAGACTTCTTTATATAAAGCTTACTCCCTCCCCTTTCGTTTTCCCCTTCCCTGTCAAAGTTAGGTTTTTTTTTCTTCCTGAAGGTTTTCTTTCTAGGCCTCTCTTTTTTTCATAAAAACTTGCTTCCATAACATCAACCCCCTGGCCAGTCGGCTCCTTTTTCTCAAGACCATATGCAGAAGTGGTAATTTCTCTTAAGACGTGAGCTTTAGAATTTTCTCTCTTCCATGGCCTCACAAAAAAAGGACAGATGGTTTACCCTCTCCAAAAGATCGACATGGTCATCATTACCAAATCCGGTGTTGTTTACTTGTTGATGGCTAAACTAGATACATCTAAGAAACCGGTGTATAACTATTATTATCCGAAAGTATCCAAGGAGTTGCGCCCCACTGTATCCAGAAAAATATGACAGCCAATGCCAATGCAACTAACGATAAGCTAGGTTAGTTGCAGGTGTCATACTGGTGATTGGAGAATCTAGTAGAATAATACGTGAAGACCAGGGATTCTAGTTACCCTCGCAACACGAGCTGGTGACAACAACGAAAGTTCCTCGCTCACCCCTCCGACAATGTAGGCTCATTGTACAAGGTTAGATAGCAACATCTATAAGAAACTCCAAATTCATTACATCCGACAACTTCCTTCAACAACCACTACTATACGTCCAAACACTTTTCCCTCACCTTTCCCCGCCTTATACCGGTACTGGATTCTACTCAAATACTTAAATGGTGTAGCTATGTGTACAAAGCTTCTTATGAAAAGCAGCTGTCCCCTTCCCTACTTGCCGCAGATGTAGGCAACTGCCACAGGCCTGGTCAACCTGTAATCTGCCGCAATTCTAGAAGGGTAGAGAAGGTCAAATACTAGGTGGTCGGATGAAAGGCTAATCTCCACGAGACGTCTGTATCAGTGTAGTGACCATTTAATTAGTTAAGCAATTATCCAAAGAAAGTATAAGGTGGAACACATCTCGGCTTGCCATATATCAAGCCATATTTACTATTGTCAATCTTTTCAATAATTCTGAAGAATTTATTCAATCTTCAAAAAAGTCATTTGATAAATTTACCAATGAAACATATGCAGATTTAATAATACTTGTTATAAAAAATAGATTAAATAATTCAACAGAAAATCAAATAATTTTTTTTTAATAAACATTTTAATTTGGCAATTAGTCCTTTACCAAAAAATATTTAGCAAGAACATATTTTTATAAATAATATAAAACAACCAAATTTAAAATATTGCAAAACAAACATTTTAAATTATAATTATATTGAATATTTCTTATATTATTTACCATTGATTAGTTGTATTAAAAATATTTTAGAAATTTCTAATATTTCTCAAGATTTTGCACTAAGCTTTGAAATATTATACAATTCAACAGAGATATATAAAATTTTATTTAAATTTTATACTGTATTATTAAAATATTTATTAAATATTTTTCTTTTAAAGACTTCTGTAGAATTAGTTTATAGTAAACAAAATAGTAGAATATGGTGAAGGAATATAGAAAAGTCTTTACCATTTGGTTCCAAATTATTATCAATTATTTTATATTTTAATGCAACCAATTGTGATACTTTAGGAAAAAGTTTATTACATCTGATATACAATATATTATATTAGGTAATATACCAACATGGAGGTGTAATAAATCTAATGCAAAACAATTATTGGGATATTTTCCAATAATAAAATCTGGAAGTATAACAGAAAAATGATCAACAAAATTCAAAAAAATTATTCATGAAACATTTCACAAATCTTTAGAAATCTTTCTAAAACTATTAAGTACATTGCAAGACAGCCTCAACCTTTCAATAAAAAATAAAAGCTATTGATTTATTTCAAAACTATTTGCAATAATAGCAGATTGGCCAGAAGCATCAATTTTTTGTTTAATATATAAATCATTAAATTTAAATTATTCTTGTTACTTTTGTTTAATTACAAGAAATAATCTTGCAAATATTAATTTATTAGAAAAAGATATTATATTTAGAACTTATAAAAATATAAAAAAACACTTACAATTATTTTTATATTTATTGAAAATATTTTGAATTTCTTTTGAAGTCTTTTATAAGTATTTATAAATTTATTAATATTTATAACATTATTAAATTTTATTAATTAATTTTATAGACATATAAATATTTATGAAGCAACAATTTTTAATAGAATGTATTATTTTGATTTGGGATTTTTCTTATATTAAATTAAATTTATACAAGAATATTTAAAAACTTTATATCCTACATTGGTTGATAAAATGGATTAAAGACTCTTAAAGATTCCTAGAT